TTTTTTTTTTTTTCTTTGTCCCCCAACCTCTTTTTTTTTTGAATTCACCCTATCCCCTCCACCTCTCCACCCTTCCGGCGCTTACGCCCATTTGTTTCCTGCCGAAACTCGGAAGATGACGCCGAGTAACCAGTCGGCGACCGTGAAGGGAAACAGCAATATATTAAATGGAAACGACAGTGCAAAGCCATTAGATGCCTGCCAAAGAAAACCCATAACAGCCAGCCCGGCGATGAGCGCTCTGCCCCGCTGGCTGTTGACGGCAAATGCCTCCTCCACGAGTCCCGCCTCCTTGCCGAAAGCAATCGCATTCTCAACAAACAGCCGCGCCCCACGAACGGCGCAGTGCATCGTGATTGTGAACTGCTGTAGCGCCACTGCGGTTGTCATGCCGATGAAATTTAACACTGTACTTGCCAAGGTGCCAGCCAGCCTTTTCTGTTCCACAGGGAGCGCCTCCTCAAGGATGCTCTCTAATGGAAGGAATTGTTTAATGGCATCAGCGAGGCAGCAGCCAAACGCCAGGGCGTTCGCAAACTTATCGCTGAGAGCTGCGATGATCGCAAAGAAGGCAAGAAGCAACGCATTAAGTGCCTCCTTGACGCCAACAGGGTCAATGGAACGGAAAAAAACGCCCAACTTGCGCGAGAACAACTCTTTACGTTGAAGTTCCTTTACGTCTGGGATGCCGTTCTTATTCTCATCAAGAGTATCATCCTTCTTGCTTGCCTCTCGTGCTGTGAGGTAATTCCCGTACAGCGTATGCATGCTTGCCTTGATGCGGTCCCAGCTGGTGATGTGCACAACTTCCACCACTGCGATGAGCATGGTGAAGCAGCCACCAAAGAAGCAGACGACGAGACCAATGAGGAGTGGCACAAGCTGTTTCATGTGGTGCCGCTCCATCGCGGAGGCGGCCTTGGTGACTTTACCGAACGCCTGCTCTGCAACTGGATAGGCACCGTCAAGGGCGTTCATACATTGTGCTGACAACTTGTTGCCAAGACGTATCTTCGATGATAACTTCGGGTATTTGCGCTCCAGCACAGAAAAGATGTGCGCCAGTGGCAACTCTTCCTGCTTCGCACGTGGCATACGTATATGTATATCTTCGTAGGAACCTTTGTATGTCTTTGTAGATGCCAATATGTCGGTATGTGTGTGTGTGTGTGTGTGTAAGGACAATTCACCTTAATAGACTCGCTTAAGTTTTTTTTTTCCTTCTTTTTTCTCTCTTGGTGTAGCGAAGGAGGCATGTGTAAGAGAGAGAGGGAGCTCATCAATGCCTATAGTGAACACACTGCGCACGCCCTTCATTCCACCAGGTCGGCACAAGTAGACAAGAATCAGGCTGTCACGGCAGGCGGAACTGAAGTCCATTCGTGTTGTACACAAGGATGTTCGGCACCATGCGTGCCGAGTGCTGCTGGCTCGCTGTGCCCTCCCGCATGCCTTTTGCCGCCTCGATGAAGTAGTCTGTGTGATGATTTGGCACCACAACACCAATCGCAGGCACATCACACGTGTTTTGCGGGGCAATAATGCGACGCATCACGTGGCACATCTGCACATAAACAGGAATGAAGGCATCAACGCGAAAGAATTCCATCGTTATCCTCCGCGTCGACGCCCCCGCCTCACTTCCTCCATTGGCATCGGAGACGTGAACAGGTATAGGCAATGCCAACGTCCCGCACAAAGGGATGTCGTTGACATCCCTGCTCTTCGCAGCCGCATTAGCAGTGGTGGCTCGGATTGGTGCGGCGCCAGCAACAGATACTTCACCCCGCTGCCTCACAGCGCATATGTACGTCTGCCACGCGTCGCGCCAGCTCTCGTGCTGCAGCAGCGGGCTCTCTGGTGAGAAGCCGCATGGGCGAACCCACGAGTCCACCAGCGTCGCAGTCACATTGGGCGAGCGTCGCAGCAGCAAAGGGTCCTGCTCACCTCGGCGTGCCATTATCTGGCGCAGTTCTCTGTGCAGCGATGGGCACACCTCGCGGTAGAAGTACGGCAGCGCCACGGCGCGGCTGCTGCCGATGTCAAGAAGAACGGGGCAGACAAGGCGGCGTTGCGGCAGCACCATATTCACCCCGCAACGCCCATGCAACCCACCCCTCCCCCCTCTTGCCTCCGCACCCGACTACCGCTGCGTAAGAACGGAAACAGGCAACCGAAAAGATAAAAAAAAAAAGAAACAAAGAAAATATTATTTGACCAGGAAAATTAAAAAAATTAATAAGGAATGAGACAGACCAAGAAGGTGAGAACGCAACAAGAAACAAAGAAATATCAAGAGAGAAACCGCATCATCATGGGCGACAGCACAAACTGTGTAGTGATGCGAGGCAAAGCATGACCGTCACCGCCCCTCTTCACCGACAGGCAACCCCAAAAAGTGAAAGAGAGCCAGTGTGTTCGTGCGTGTGTGTGTGTGTGTGTGTGTGTGTGTGTGTGGGAGTTGTCCTAGTCGACCAGGTGCTCCAAGTCTTCGGCAGACAGCGGCGTGGTGACGGTGGCGACGATGGGCTCGATAATCTCCACGAATTCCGCCACGTCAACGCGGACCTTGCAGTCCACGTGCCCACCGCCCATCCAAAACACCGGCGGCGTTAGCTGCGCAATGCGGTGGCTCATGATGACGGGGATGCGCGTGGTGGTGCCGAACGGAGCCACCGCGCCGTGGCCAAATCCGGTCAACTGCAATGCCACAGCCGGGTCGGCAAGGCGGAAGTTAAACTTCTTCTTGCCAAGTCCCTCGTTCATGTCCTTCACACACCGCATGACAAACTCCGCGTCAAACTTCTCGGTGTACGGGTATACAATAATGTAGTAGCGGGAGTTCTCGCGGTGGCTGCAGTCGGAGTGAATGCAGTGCGTGTTCTCAAGCACAATCGACTTGCAGAGATGCTGAATAGAAGGCGCCTCCAGAATGTCACGCCGCCACTGCAGTGAGTGTGAGTAGTAGTCAGATGGCACCCAGCGGAAGACGGCACTGTAGAGTCGGTGTGCCAAACACCAATGCCGCAGCGCGGCAACCTCGGACGTGTCCTGTTTGCATGGCTGCAGCTCCTTCAAGTCGCAAGGGTCCCGGTGCCGCGTCGCCACTGCAGCAGCAGCAGCAGCAACATTGGCTGTCGCCTTCGCGGCAGGCTGCATCATCAGTCGCAGCTCCTCGATGCCCTGCTCGATGGCGGTATAACGCGTGGCGAGAGACACGAGACGGGTCTCCATGCTCGCTGACATTTCTCTTCGTAAATTGCTTATTTTCCTCTACGTATTCTGTGATGTCTTTTTTGTGTTGTTTTGTTTTGAGTGTGTTTCCTCTTTAGGAGCCATGCGCAAAGCATATTGACAAGGAGAGCGGGTGGTGGGAGTTGGCTGTAGCGGCAAAAAATAAAAATAAAAAAAAAACCTCCGAAAAAATTAGGCGGCCCGGCTGTGTGATTGTCTCACCGATGGAATCCTCTGCGAAAGGGAAAACGCAGTGCCGGTACAAGTGGAACACACCCACTGGGGTGCGGGGCGTGGCAGGAGGCCACTTCAACTTCTTTTTTGTTGTTGTTGTTGCTGTTGTTTATCATCTTCGTCTTCTTCCGCTATTCTTTGTTTTCTGGCAGTGACTCTTGCCTTTGCGTCGAGCGCGCGCGCGCTCGAGAGAGAGAGAGACACACACACACACAACACGCAGCGAAGTCGCATCGCGCGGGGGCTACGGCGCCAGTCGCTTCGGGTCGCGTGGGAAGAGCGAGACCTGCCGGATATCCCGCGCACCGAGGAGGAAGAGGGCGATGCGCTCCAGTCCGAGCCCGAAGCCGCCGTGCGGCCACGCGCCGTAGCGGAAGGCGGACACGTAGTCCGTCATCTGCGCCGCGTCCACCTGCAGCCGCTGCATGTTTTGCAGCAGGAGGGCCGGGTCGTGGACACGCTGCGCTCCGCTGCAGATCTCCTCGCCGCGAAGGTACATGTCGAAGCTGCACGTCACGTCCGCCTTGCACGGGTGTGGCATCGTGTAGAATGGCCGGGCGCTGGTGGGGAACTGGTCGACGATGTAGACATCCACGCCGTAGCGCTCCCGCACCAACTCCCCGAGGCGCCGCTCCTGTGGGAGGGTGAAGTCCGTCACTGGCTGCGATATCACATTGTGGTCCAGCAGCATCTGCACCGCATCACAGAAGGCGAGGCGCAGCACTCGTGGCCGCCCACCGCCCACGCGGCCATGGTAGCGGTCCAACGAGGCTACAGCCGCATTACCTTCGGTTGCTGTTGCGTCACTTGTCGTCAGCTGATACCTGGCGATGGTCTCCTCCGCAACCTCACACACAATTGCGGTGGGCGGTGGGGATCGCTCACTTGTTGTTGGACTCGTATTGCTGCTCTCTGCGGCGTCAAGCTCGGCCAGTGATTTTTGCGCCTGCTGCACCAACGCCGAATGCTGTGTCTGGACGTGCTCGATCATGCCGCACACCGTCGCCTCCAACACATCGAGCACCTCTGTGTACGACTCACCAATGACGAGTTCCGCGTCGAGCCCAACGAACTCGGTGAGGTGTCGGTGTGTGAGACTCTTCTCGGCGCGAAACACCGGCGCAATTTCAAACACGCGCATCGCATCACCCATTAGTGCCATCTGCTTATAGAGCTGTGGTGACTGTGCCAAATAACCCCGCTGGTCAAAGTAGTCAAGCGAAAATACCGCACTGCCACCCTCTGACGCGGTGCCAATCAACTTCGGCGTGTGAATCTCCAGAAAGCCTCGGGCGAGTAGCTTCTCGCGGAAACATTGACAAATGGCGGACACAATGCGGAGCATGGACGCCATCAGCGGTGTGCGCAGGTCCACGACACGGTGGTTGAGGCGCGTGTCGAGTTTGGTGTGACAGTCCTTTATCGGGAACGGAAGCGGCGTATCGGCCTTGCTCACAACATGTATGCGTTCCGCGTGGAGCTCATAGTTGGTGCAGCTGACAGACGTAACCGGTTTTTCGGCAGGCACGACAGCACCCGTCACGTCGACAATAGACTCCGGTGTGAGGTCCTTTACTTGTCGCGCCATGCCTGCGCCCACCGCCACCACCTGGATGGAGTGGAATGGGGGCTGACGGAGGTGAATGAACGCCAACTTGCCACGAACACGCACGTGTTCCACACGGCCGCGCAGCGTTGCAGCTGCGGGTGGTGTAGCGCCCAGCTGGATGGACGCAATGTCTATTCCGATCGCCGTGGTGCAGCCGCAGTGACGGCGCGCAGTCCAAATGGGCATGGGCTGCTGCTGCCTTCTATGATGAGGATGCAGCCGCACCAGCCTCCAATGGTCCATGACTCTCCAAGACGGCAGACGCGTGAACATTTCGCAGCACCACAGTAACCCGCGCCACTACCTCGAACAACGCATGCGCCTCCCCTCGACACGAATGGCCAAAACACAAAAAAAGGAAGGAAGGAAGGAGTGTAGAAAATGGCCCACGGGGCTCACAGTACCACAGGATAAACAGCGTCAGCCGGCACATGGTAAAAGGAAATGATGTGCCGCACCCCTATTCGCCACCCTGTACCCCCACACCCCCCACCCTTTCGAAAATGAAATCAAGAAGCAAAGAGGGCGTACACCACCACCACGCACCCCTCGAAGAAACCCATATCAAATATTACAATGCCTGAGAATACCTTCGCAGAGAGTCGGAGCTCACTGGCTCCTCACTCTCCCCTGAAATGGTGGAAACACAATAAGTGCCAGAAAGTCGCGGTGCAGTATTGAGAGTATCGCTATCACTCTTATTCTCTTGTTTCACGCGACTACTATTCCTGCTGCTAGTGCTGCTGCAATTGCAGTCAACGGCAGTAGTCGACTGCTCGTCATCGCGCCCTCCATTATATCCAGGAGCGGTGGTGTCGTCGGTGCTGCCGCCATGTCTCACCTCCCCGATCGCACCCATCAACGGCAGCAGCTCCTTCGCAAGAGCGAGTGCTGGAGCAAAGAAGCCTACACGCTCGGCGAGACGCAGCCCGTAGTGATCCACCTCGGAGGGGCCTGGTAGCAGCCGGTATTCGAAGCGGAGAGCGCACGTCGACTTGCTTGTTGTCTTGACCGACGCTCTCGTCGCCACCGACCCTGCTCCTCCTGCCATCTCATTTGAATTCTTCTCATCCCCTGTGCTCACTGCAAGGTGGTAGTTCTTCACGCTACCTGCGGAAAGGCCTTCCAGTCGTGTCAGGCGGCTGAAGTGTGTCACAAAGACAGTGCGGCACCGTGTCTCCACGAGAAACTCTACTGTCGCCCATGCAATCGCAGTTCCCTCACGCACTGCCGTGCGCCGCCCGAGTTCATCTACTAACACCACGCTCTCTCGCGTGGCGTGGAGGCATAAGTACGACAGCTCACGCATCTCCTTCCCAAAGGACGAGGTAGTAGTGTCCTCGAGATCGTCGCACAGCATGTGGGCGATAAGGCGGTCGCATGGCTGCAGTGCGACGGCCCTCGCCGGGACAAGGCATCCACTCTGCGCGAGGGCAAACATCTGCCCAAGCTGTCGAAGGAGTGTTGTCTTCCCTGCAGCATTCGGTCCTGTGATTAGAAGCACATTGGTGTTGCCGTCCCAGCGAATGGTATTCGCCGTCGCCAACCCGCCGGGGTGCCGCGCCTCCACGAAGTAGGTGCCGCTGCATCCCCCTAACGGTCTGTCCGGTTTCAGCAGCGTGGGTCGTGTGCAGGCGTTCAGCCGCGAATACGTGGCGAAAGCCACCAAGAGGTCGAGCATAGCAACCGCATCGCACACTACCTGCAGTTTCCCTAGACGCTGTCGAAGGTACTCAATCAAAAATCGCACAAGGCCATCCTGTGTGTGAAGGATCTCCGCCACCGCCTCATCGGCGGTACGGCGAAGGACGAGCAACTCCTTTGTTGTGCATGTGACCCTCTTACCACGCAACTGATGCTTTGTAAGATGATGCGTCCTGTCATCACCCTGTTGGTCATTCGCCGTGGTGGTGACGATCGGGGAGGAAGAAAAAGGCTGGTGCTGTTGCTGCTGCATCCGCACTGCAGAAAACTCATTACCCACAGGATATGTGCTATCAGTGACCAAAGCATGCGCCTGGTCACCGCATTCTGGCGTGTTGGTGGAAATTTCACCACCGTTCTCCTCTCCCTCCCTTATCATTGTCATGCAGCTGCTGTGGTACAAAGCGTAGTGATTCCCACCGGAGTATTTCTGTAAAAAGATGGAGTCAGGGGCGTTGCACTCATGGCGCGCATCGTACGACAAGTGATACCCACGCACGATGTCGTACACAACTCGCAGAGATCCCACGCCATGCCGCTGCTTCAGCTCTTCTGCGTGAGCAAACATTGCCTCAACGGCCTGGCTGTACTGGTAGCGGGACGCATCGAGAGTACCACAGAGGTTTGGCTTGACTGCAAAACACTGCTGCACCTGCAGGACGGCGCTGCCGGGCCGCCGTACCCGATGCCCCGCCGCACCTCCGGCCTGCGCCCCTTTGCTCCGTGTCGCCCGCACGATACCCTCGTCGAGGTACACCCCAATTTCGGCGCTGATTTCGTCCATGCGGCACACCGTCAGCGCCTCAAGCAGCTTGCGGAGAAGCGTCGTGGCGCTGTGCTGGTGGTGTGTTTTAGTGAAAATGCGACGCTTCCGTTCCCGTTGACCTCGAGGGCTGTTCCTCGCATTTTCACTGCATCTTCGTCTCTTGCGCCGCAATTCAAATGCTTCAGGGGATCTGTTCTTGTCGTCATCGTCGCCACCGACATAATTGCCGCTGTTGTCCTTGTCGACGTCGTGGTCATTATCGGCATCATTATCGTCGCTGTTATCTCCGCTGCGACTGTGATAGAATCCGGGATCTTTCTGCTCGGACATATCCATTGCACCCTCGTTGTCATTGTTGTTGGCATCGCCGTCGTCGTCGCCGCCCAGAACTTCACGCAGGGCGGCTGCCAGTTGGATAGCAGAGCCTAGTCGTTGCCATAGCACCACAACTGATTCGATGCGCTGCTGCATAGTCTTCAGTGTCTGCACCTTTGCCTCATGTGAGAAGCTCGAGAGAGCACGTTCAAAGTCATCACCACCGAAGCACTGCAGCCATCGCCTCAGCGCCGTCACCGCTCCTTCTTTGTTCCTCAGCCACTCAACACTGTCATAACGCAGTTCAATGCTTGTTGGGTCGCGCAGCGGCTGCAGTATCGTGGACCGAAGTAGCCGCCGACCCACGCCGGTCATTGTGTGGTTCAGTGCCTCCACAAGCGGTAGCAGCGGCGCACTTTGCGGTTGCTCCCGCGCGGCACGGAAGAATGTCTTGCGCGCCGCCCGTCCCCCACCGCCACGCAAAGCATCGCCGCGTGGGGCACTGAACGTGTGGCCTCGTGACGTCGGCCCCGTCGCAATGAGGTGCAGAGCGCGTGCGGAGAGCCTAGACACCTCCATGTAGTTCTCCAGCGTCAGGTACTGCACACGCACGGTGTGTGGGAGGAGTGTGTAGTTATACGTCAGTTCCATGAACTGAATGAGGGCGTTTGCGGCCGCCACACAGAGGTAGCGGTCTGTATTGCCGACCTCCAGGCAGGCGTCGTCGGTGGACATGAGCTCCAGCAGGCGGTGTGCGCCTTGCGCCTCGTCGAACGACCGCCGCGGCACCCCAGTGAAAGTGATCTCGCGGAAGTGGCGCAGCAGCGTCTGCACAAACTTGCCGTCCACGACGGTTTCCGGCACCAGCACCTCGACAGGGTTGCGGGAGAATACGAACGACAGCGTCTTGGTAAAAGCCACGCTGTCGCCGTACTGTGTGATGATAATCGCCAGCGACGGTAGCTGGCACAGCGCCACCCCAACTTCACTGGCGCGGTTGTCAATGAGAGCCATTATGCAATCTCCAGACCCTTGACTCGTGCCGGAGGGGCGCGCGCCTGAAAGTGTTGTTGTCGCTGTTCTGGTGAGTCGCGGCGCGGTGGAGGCGGCGGCAGCGGCAGCGGCAGCGATTGCACGCTGCGATACCGCTGGGGTCACCGGTTGGGCACCATGGCTAAACGGAAGCGCGGCCGTTGGGGCAGGAAGAGGCACAGGGGTGGGAAAGGCAGAAAAGCCGGAAGCAAGCGCGGCTGCTGTTCCATCCCCCCGCATGTGTGATGCGTGACAATGCTGCTCGTCTGCAGTAATGCGGAACGCCTCTTCATGCTGCGCTCGCGTGTTGTAAAAGGCGGCTGTGTGGCCGCTGACGGCAAATGAGGGGGCGGAGGTGCGGACGCCCGGCTTGTGCAGCTGCAGCTGCAGCAAGGAGAGAGACGCCCCGACCCGCCCCGTGAAGGTGTGCGGCGGTGTGTTATCTGTCGTCGTCGCCGCTGCTGCTGCTGCTGCTGCTTTTCCTCCTTTTGCCTCTGTTGTGAATTCTCTGTCTACGCTACATTGGCCGTGTAGAGGAGAAACAAATTTAACACAATGGAGCCGCTGCATCAGACGCAGATGCGAGTTGTGTGGCCTCGTCAATCCCGTCGTGATCACAGAGGTAAATATCAATACAGTTCGAATCACTCCGTCTTCGTTATACGTCTCAATCAACGACGCACACACAACCACGCACACACACGATGGATATTCCATCCACCGCATGAACGCAAGATAAAATACAGCTGCACGTGGATCATTTTGCCCACAATAAAGGACAACGGTCTACAGTGCTCACTTCTTCTTCTTGACAGTGTTGGTACTCTTCGTGCTGGTTTCCTGCATTGATACGTACTCGTCCCGGGCATTCACTAGCGGGGCGAGCTGCGTGACGCCGCCGAGAGCCGTGATGAGGACGTAAAAGAAGAACACGTGCGGTGCCGCGTTGCACGACACGCAGATCCTGAAGGCAATGCCTATCTCCATGCAATGCACCAGCCACGCGAGTGAACACACCGTACGGATCGTACTCATGCCGCCAATGCCGCGGCACATGCGGAAGAGCCTGCGCATCACCGTGTCCTCCAGGAACAGCTGCGCGTTGAATGAGTACTCGTCCGGCTGCGTGCGGTAACTCGCGGCCCTTTCCGCCTCAGTGGCGGCGATGTTCGGTGGCATGACGAGGTCGGTGCCGTCCGCATTGACAGTGGTGCAGCACGCTAGGTAGTTCAGCAAGAAAAAGGCAATGAACGTTGGTACAAACATCAGCCATGGCATGCGGTACGCGAGCCTCCTGCTGCCTCTGTCCCCAGCTTCTGATGCTGCTGGCGTTTTTGTTATTGTCTTTCCTCTAGCCATCGCTTTGTGTGTGTGTGTGTATATATATATATATATATTTCTTCGTGGATGTTCGTCCCTTTGGATTCGTTGGCGATTTTGGTGCCGGGCTGGAGCCGCTGCTAATGCAACTCAACGAAACTGGAGCACTAGGGAAAGAAAGGCCATATATATGCACATATACGCATGTGGGCGAGTGAGTGCGTGACAACAACAGAGAGCGCGGAGGGGTGGGGGGGCACAGAAAACAAGTGCACTGGCGCCAGCGCCACACAGGCAGCATGCAGGTCTGTTCCTCTGCGCCGCCACAAAGAGAAACCGAAGCGAGGCAAGAAGAGACACACCAACTAAACACCGGGTCCCTACACCAACGACCAACGGGAGACATCGTCATTCATCCACGCCGCCACAACAGCAGGCGACGTGTTCCCTGCGCAGCACCCTTCAGTGCCACTGTCGCATCGCCGCAGCGGTCAACAGCCACAAACGCCGTGAATGCCGCAACGAACACGGCGAGGCGGAGCAGCGTGGCGCGGGAGTCCTTACGCCGATCCTCTTCACTCTTCGAGCCGTTGTACACCGTGCGGAGTCGGCCACCGACGGTCCACAAGATGCTCAAAGCCTTCTTGCACATCTTCCATTTGTCATTCCACATTTCCGCCAGCACACTACCGTGCAGGGGGGATCGACGGATAGAAACAAGATTGACAAAGAAGAGCAAACAGGCATTGAGGACACTGGGGCTCACGGCTTAAAGCGAGAGGATAAGGCCGCACAAGGAAAACAAAAAAGGCGCTAAATTGCACATGCATGGAACCACAGTTCTTCTCTGACGCCTGTCTCCCTCCCTCTTTCACTCCACACACATACACACACACACACAC